ATATATATATATATATATATATATATATATATATATATATATATATATATATATATATATATTGAAAGTTTGAATATTTCAATATTTTAAAACTAAAATAATAAGCATGTCCAGATACATGCTAAGAATGTGTCCAGGCATTGGTACTTTTATCTTAAGAGATATTATGAGCACACCATTTTTTGTGGCGCACTAAACATGCAAATAACATTTTCTATTGCTGTTTTATTATTTAATTATAATCCAAAAAGTTTAATAAAAGTATTTAATATAATGTACATTATCGTAAAATCGAATTTAGTCGGATTTAATTGTCAGTAATGCTGAGGATTTTGTATATTAGTAAAACAGAGCATCTTTCATCTTTTTTATGAAAAGATACACACGAAATGAGCTACGACGGCAACAGAAAGATTTACAAAATCGATGTGAAGAAGAAAAAGATTTACTTTATGGTTCAGGCATAAATTGAGTCAACAAAGCAAGTTAGTGTACAAAAATTTTATATTACGAATTTTAAATGCAATTTCTCGAAAAATGTGTTTTACGAAACGATGAACATAAAATGTCAAAGACAGTTTCATCGATTTTCATATACTTTGTTGCGCATATTCTTAAAACAATTCTTAAAACAATATGTCGGGAGCAGAGTTTCGAAAAAAATTCTTGAAAAAAGATAACATTTATTGTTGCTCAAGTAAATGTCAGAATTGCAACCAGATATCTAGAAATATAAATATTGGTGTAATATCTCTTAAAAAAATAAAGTGGCACTTTTTCTTCTAATTTTCTTTAATTAATTTCCTAGTAATTATATGACGGCTTTTTTTAATAGTATTTTATAAAGAACTTTTTTATTCAGTCCAATGAATTCTACATGTACTCAAACGAACGTACGAGTTGTGTATTATTTTGTTTTTGCTATTACATTTTTACCTACGTCTGGCCAACAAAAGTGCACTTCGTCTTATTCAAACAATTAAATGCATACTTATTATAAATAGACAAATATCTAAAACTATATTTTACAAGTAGATATCTTTTCTTTGAACAGATTTTTATATAACATCAAATGAAAGAGGTTTGTTTATTTTTTTCAAAACATCTCTTTTATTATTATTTATACATTTTTCCTTAGACATAAGCGATTTTCGTCTATTACTTGGAAATATTTGCATAAGTTATAGAAATAATTACTTATACAACACAAATACATTCTAGGAACAGCCCAGAGATATCGAGACATCTTTGGAATATCTCTAGTACACGGAGAAAAATAATTTTCTGCTGGTCTAGCAAATCTTTTCATTATTATATGGACAATAAAAAGATTTGCTAAGAATATTAATCACTATTTGCTAGATATAATTTGCTGAAACTATTAGGACCTTAAATAAATTCTCGCTGTTTTCCAACATATGGCGTTACCAGAACTGCGTGCGTGTAGTTTAAGATGGTAACGCATCTATAAGGAAGTACTATAAGCAAGCTTGAAATTCAGTGTATTTCGCCGAAGTGTAAACAAAACTTTTTTTTTCATAATGTTAAACATGTCGAGTTTCGTGCCAAAAAAAGACTATTTGCGGGGAATTTTACTGCACTACTTTATTAAAAAAAAATCTGCAGCTGAAGCACACAGAATTCTTGTTGAGACTTACTGCGACCATGCTCTGTCGGAAACAACATGCAGAGATTGGTTTAGACGCTTCAAAAATAATAATTTTGATGTTGAAGATAAAGAACGCTCTGGCGCACCGAAAAAGTTCGAAGACGAAGAATTGGAGGCATTACTTTATGAAGACTCATGTCAGAATGCTAGCTGAACTTGCAGAATCATTAAGAGTTGATCACACAACAGTTTCAAAACGTTTGAAAGTATTAAGAATGATTCAAAAGCAAGGATATTGGGTGCCGTACGAGTTGAAGCCGAGAGACGTCGAACGGCGTCTTTTCACGTGTGAACAGCTGCTTCAATGGCAGAAAAGAAAAGATTTTTTGCATCGTATCGTGACTGGCGATGAAAAGTGGATACACTACGATAACCCTAAGCGTAGAAGATTGTGGGGTAAACCCGGCCATGCATCAACATCGTCGACAAAGCCGAATATCCATGGTTCGAAACTTCTGCTCTGCATTTGGTGGGATCAATTGGGTGTAGTTTATTATGAGCTGCTCAAACTGAACGAAACCATCACGGGAGATCGCTATCGACTACAATTGATGCGTTTGAGCCGAGTATTGAAGGAAAAACAGCTGCTATACGAGTAGAGACACGACAAAGTAATTTTGCAACATGACAACGCTCGGCCACATGTTGTACAACCGGTGAAAACCTACTTGGAAACGCTTAAATGGGAAGTCCTACCCCACCCGCCGTATTCACCAGACATTGCCCCTTCCGATTATCACTTGTTCCGATCGATGGTACATGGCCTAGCTAAGCAGCACTTCCATTCTTATGAAGATGCCAAAAAATGGATCGACTCTTGGATAGCCTCAAAAGACGTGTCGTTTTTCCGACGTGAATTCAAATGCTGCCAGAAAGATGGGAAAAAGTAGTGGCTAGCGATGGACAATACTTTCAGTGACATGTTTTTTACGATTTTTTTTAAATAAAGCATTAATTTTCACGAAACATTCATCAAACGCGAGAACTTATTCAAGGTCCTAATACAAATTATTTTACTATAAGAACCATGATGGATTTATATAAGCAGCTGCAATTTTGCTCCGATAGCAAATAAATTTACTAAGAATACATTATTTTGAATCAATAGCAAATTAACGTGATTCTTAAGACAAATACAACAATTTTCAACAATTTTTTTCTATCCTGGTAACGAAACTATTTTTGTTTTGATAACGAATAATTTGTAAAATTAATTATGTCAACTAATTTTTTTTTATGTCACTACGAATATGCAATAGCAACGACGATTTTGCTAAAAGTGCAAAATTATTTTTTTTTAATATATATTCTAACATTGATGCTATATGATATACATGATACTTCTTAAAATAAAGACACTGTATTTTAATTTGTTTTTAAGTAAAAAAGATAAGAAAGAACATATAGCTCCCTTATAAATATAAGCACATATAAATCTCATCACGTAATAAACTTTCTATATAAATCAGAACGTTCGTTTATTATTCATTATAGAAAAAAGATCAAGAGATTAACGAGATCGCAAAATTTATTTTTTATATGTATCGCTGTTAGTAATTTAACTATTTCATAATTGCCAAAGCTAAAAAAGAATAAATAATATGCGAACCACAATATCCTTGTAATCATAAAAAATTGTAATATATTTGCAAAAAATAATAATATATGTTTTTTTACCATTTTCTGTTGGAACAAATATTTCTAAGATCCAGGATTGGATAATAACTAGTTAAAAAGTTAAATGTTAAGTTAAAAAGTTAAATGGCTTTAACTTAACTTAGTTATATTTTACACTCTTAACTTTTAACTTAACTTAGTTACATTTTATCGGTAATTATTAACTTTTAATTCAATTATCTTGAAGTTAATCATGCCATAAAGGACGTCGAAAGGCTGTTCAGTGCAGGACAGCTCATTTTTGACACACGTATGGTTATATATAAATGCCTATACAGTTAAAAAAGTAATCTGTGTACTGTAGATAAAGGTTCGGTTAGACCTAAAATAGCAACTTTCTAATGGCGCTAGGAAAAAAACTATCCATTTTCTCATACTTTTTGTTGAAGATTTTTTATCAGCTCATAAGCTACAAAATATCATAGTTTCAGTTAATTCGACTAAAACCACTTTTTCATATGATTAGTGCGGGGTCCTTTCGAAAGAATTTTATTACTTAAATTTAATAAGTATCTGTAAATAAAACATGTTTCCAAATAAGATGTATATCTGTTTTTTCCGCTTTTGTAAAACTGAAACGATGAAGTCATGAAATGAAACATAGAATGAAGTCATGAAATTTAACTTTTAACTTTTTAATTACTTTTTTTTATTAACTTAACTTTTAATTCAATTAATTTCATTACGAGTTAACTTAATCTTAACTAAGTTAAATTTTCAAAGCCATTAACTTTAACTTAACTTAGTTAAAAAAAAAGTTAACTTACCCAACCCTGCTAAGATCTAGTACGGTTACTTTCAACAGATATTATTTTATTATCATCTATTATATTTGACTGTTTCTTTTTGACACCTTCAATTTGTTGCCCATTGATCACAGCTACTACTTTGTCATTGTCCAGAATCGTAATATGATTACCTTCCACACAATAGACTTGTACGTTTCCTTTAGTAATCTGAAAATTCATTAGTGAATTAAAATCTTTCTATAGCTTATGTTATACAGTTTACTTCTTAAGACAGTCATGTCAAGTACCTTATGCAGACCATAATCTTCATCAGGTATACGCAACGATTGCATGGTTGGTTTTAGAAGTATTATGGGGGATGCAATTTTGGGTATTTGTGTCACGTCATATTCGTGAAGAGCATGAATATGATTATACATTGTTACACACAAAGCTTTTGAACAATCAGTTGAAAATTTTACATATGTCGAAGGAAGATAATTTATAAACATATTCAACTTATCGTTCCAATTAGTATATTTATTTAATTCCAACAGAAGCTGCAAGGTCATTAATTTATTTAACTTTGGCCAAAGAAAATCACGTTTAAAATTAACGTTTAAAATTAACACTGGTAGGAATAAATACCTTTCCACTGATAGCAGGATTTAACACATCCATTATACCTAAGAGAACATTACTCTGAAGTTCATCAATCGTAGTGTAAGGTATATGTTGATTTGTCAATGCCTTCATCTGCTCAGGTGCGCCATCGATAAGCACTAATCGGCCTTGGAAGTTCATTTCTTCCAATCTTTTTGCTAACTCAATGGCAATTAAAGTTCCATATGAATAAGCGACTATTACAAAATTCTTTTTCGACTTCATTTTTCCCAACACATGCTGAAAGCATAGAAAAGACGATGAAATATAAAGAAACAAATTTAAATAAATATTTTATTTAATATCATGTGTTTCGGTGTGATTACTATTTGCCATGCTATACATCAATCAAACATGCTTTCTGTAGTCATTCTGCAGATCGAGCGTTACTACAAATTTTCAACAAGACATCCATTTCTACGTAGTTATATGTCATGACTGTTGATGTCCTGTTACACAGGACTATAAAAAATAAAAATAATTAACAAAGATTTTAAGGCTATTGAGGAGCGAACACGGATATAGTAAATATCACGGATGTGTTATTTTAATATTACAAACATGTAATATTAAAGTTCATTGTAGGAGGATAAAATTGTCCAGCATGTAAGACATATGTCCGAAATCTTCCTTCGACAATCGTGCGCAGCGAATCAACTTTTCACATTTAGACCGATCCTGTATCCTTGTATTTTAACGCGAATTTTTTATTCTCAAACCCGATACTCTTGAGTAATTGATTCCTTTTTATTAATTATTTTAAATGTTGCGAGAAATCCTGGCTGAGGTTAGGCATATTGATATAACTTAATATCTCATCTATTAAAAGTTTTGTATGTTTCAACACATGATTATTGTTTTTAAGCTATTTAATCACAATGTGCATGTTCTATGTAGAATATAAAGAAATACTTAATTTTGAACTTTTCTTGCACATTATAAAAACATTTAAAAAAACATTAACAAAAACTTCACGTGTTATTTTATATATATTATTTTAAAAGTCATATTCGATTTCAATAAGTCTAAATATATAAAAAATAGTGGTTTTCATTTTCGGTAAAAAAACTTTTTTATTTTTTGTGGTTCTGTTTTATTCCAAAAAGTGACGACGATATATCCAAGCAGCTATGGCATTTTGATAGGTTAACGTTTCGTTCAATCAATAAGGAGGGATATTCGTTCACCCAAGCAAAAATGTATCTAGTAGAGCAGATTTCAAGACTTAGATAGTAATGACTAGATAAGTTTTCTAGCCAGTCACTAACTCGTGACTGGGTAAATATTCCTACTCAGTCTTTTGAATGTCAGGACTATCTAGTAACTATACCAATTACATAGATAGTGGCTAGATGAAAAAGATTACACAGTAACGAGATAGAAAATCATCGGTAAATCCTAAATAGAAATTGGATATCAGAATTATCTAGTAACTGTATCCATTATAATTACAAGTTTTTTTTGTATTTATTTATTAGATAATTTTTCTAGTACAGCCACTAAGAGAAGTGAGCGTTCCTAGCTAGTAGTGATGTAAGACCCAACTTTTCTGTGTCATTATTAGACAATCACTAGATTCAATGTTTGCTCGGGCATATCTTAGGAGCAATTAACAAAAGAATAATATAATTCAATATATATATATATATATATATATATATATATATATATATAAGTCAACTATTTTACATTAAAACATGATACCACTTAAAATAAAGACGCTGACTTGAGCTGTACTATAGCGGGAAATAAACTATCAATTAAACTGAATTGTATTATTCTTTGTCGATTACGCGTAACATATAAATCCTCTTTATTGTCAACATGTCATACCTGCTTGGAAATATCATCGTCACTTTCGAATAATTAACAGTCACAACATATGAATGCGTAGAAACGAATGCGCTGGTGAAAGAAATGTGTACTAATTCCTGAATATATAGAACCAAGCATATGAATTTTCACATTTATTTACGAAACGATTTTAAAAAATTTCTTCGCTCTTCGGCATGTAGTGACGTCCAATGTGGGAGAATTTATTTTTAAGTAATTCTTATAAAAGATAGTTTACTTAATTGAATGTCAGATGCATCTTGAGATATATAAAAAAGAACTATTCAAACCAACTTTTTGCAACTAAATATATTACATGTAATTCTAATAAGATAAAATAAATAAAATAAATTTGATAAAAAATAAAATAAAGAGAAAAATTATAATTAAATAATAAACAAAATTATAAACATTATAAATAAAATAATTAAATTAAATAAAATTAAAATAAATTATAAACAAAATAATATACCATACTTTTAAAAGACAATCAGCAATTTCGGCTATTGTGTGACAATTGTTGCCAATATTATAAGTTCCATATTGTAAGCACGTTGCCGGTGCTTCTATTTTTGGCGCCAACATGTTGAAAATATTTCCGCAACCTTCGATTCCCGGCAAAAGGAATATCTCGTTTTTCGCTGCATCGCCTTTTGTTGGAAGATTTATACAAACGTCGGGTATTAAGTTATCATTGCCTATCACCCGGACCAATAATTTTAGACCAGTCAAATCGTTAGGATCCCTAAATTTATCGGAACGTAGTTTTTCATTCCGTGATTCTTGGTCAAACATTTCAGCAAGTTTAGTGAAATTGAGGTTACGAATATCGTGGGCGGTGAGAAAAACCGCATATTCTCGTTCTAAAGTCTGCTTGATTTCAACTGCCATCATTGAGTCCATCCCAATTTCAGACAAGCGTGCATGACTCGATACAGCATTCAAGTCTTTCAAACCTATATCATAGACATCCAAAATTTTCGTTCGTTTTACACTAATTATTTTTAATAGAATAAATTAGATGTTATATTTTAACAAAGCTCATAGATGCAACAAACAAACATATGTAAGTATTATTCATACATTGTAACGCAATATAGTTAATTTAGCTGTTTATCCAGTTTATCCAATTTTGATTGAATTTTCACTTACCCATAATATTGGCAACAGTATCGACAATATTGATCGTACTAACAGCATCCAAACGCTTCTCAGCCACAACCATACTCGCCACTATAGGTTGCTCTTGTAACAGAAATTCCTCGAGTTTTTCGATACAGGAACTTATTTTCTGCTGTAGTGTACCGCCGATGATCATTTCTTTGTCATTGTCCTGCATGTCGGCTACAATGCCGACATCGCCAATCGCACCCCATTGAATCGCCAGTCCATGCAAACCTTCCTGTGATCTCTTTTCGCAAATTTGTTCCATGATAGAATTTGCCATTCCGTAATTGCTTTGCCCGGCATTGCCTCTACCGCACGATACAGAAGAGAAGACGACAAAATGTCGGAGTTGAGAACATATTTTTCTGGACAATTGGTCCAAGTTCTTCGTGGCCCAAGCTTTGGCTTTAAATGGCTCCTGAAATGTTTCTATCGTATGATTCTGACAAATTTTATCATTCAGTACTACAGCAAGATTGAATATGGCATCTATCGGTGCCAGTTTCTCTGCTGTTTTCAACATATTTTCGCAATCTTTGACATCTGATGCATCAATGTTCGCCGCGATAAATACTTTCACTCCGTAAGTTTTCCATTGTTCAGTCTTCATACGCTGATAGCCATTCTGTATTCCAGCGCGTGAAATAAGCACGAGGTTCTTGGCACCCCGAATGATTAACCAATCAGCTAACTCCAAACCGAAACCACCCAATCCTCCTAAAATAATATATGTCCTGTTGGGTAAGCAATAGTAACGTGGTAGAGCAAGAATAGGTGCGTCTGTAAATTTCTCATCTTCCTGTACCTTTACAATTATCTGAAAATGTAAAATGAAACCAATACTACAACATATGACTATACTATGCTTAGACTGTAACTTCTTTTTTCCATTTGGTATATGTCGATGACAAATGAAACCGATAATAGCATCTGTCAACCATCTTACCTTCCCAATATGCTTTCCCGCAGCCATGTATCTGAATGCAGACTCTACTTCATCCCTTTGGAAAACTTTTCTAGTAATTGGCTTAATGGCTCCACTATCGAGACCGTCAGCTAGTATTCCATGTAAATAATGTCTGTCTTCTTGGGATATGTAGAATACTCTGTCTAACATAACACTGTAAAATCTTATCCCTTTCGAGAAGATTGACATATCCAAAGTATTGTTAGTCAACATATCAAATTTTCCGATTTCTAAGAAACGCCCGCCTCTTGCGAGGCAACGCACAGACGCCTGAAGTTTATCCTCGGCTAACGAATTCAATACGACGTCAACTCCACGACTATTAGTCTTTTGGTATATCATCTGCTCAAAGCTGGTGTCGCGTGAATTTCCAATATGGTCTTCCGAAATGGACGGAAAAGTATCTCTTATAAACTTCCGTTTTTCTAAAGTGCCAACAGTGACAAATATTTCGCAACCTGCGTGAAGCGCGATATTGATGGCTGCTTGGCCGACAGCGCCAGTACCTGAGTGAATAAGTATCTTCTCGCCTTTCTTTAACTGCTCACTAAGGTGCAATCCGTAATAACATGTGCTGTAAACACAGGGAATGGTCGCGGCATCCTCCAGAGTCCATTTGTCCGGAATTTCCCAGGATAAATATTTATCGACCACTTGTTTATTTGATATGCACCTAAATAAAAAGATTACATCGTTATTATGCTATAACTTTTTCCGTCCAAACTAACACGACTTATCAGTCACGTACTTATTTTCGGACAGTCCCATTACTCTGCGTCCATTCTCATCGATACCAACATACTCCAAACCTAACATGCAATCCTCTAATCGCCCACGTGACATAAAGCTGTCCATATTAATTTTACCGATTGCTGTCATTACGTCTTTGAAATTAAGGGACGCGTAAATTATATTAACGAGTCTTCTGTGCTGAAAATCTGGGGTAATCGAACCTTGAATCCAGCGAAACGAATTCAAATCACCGCGAACCTAAAAACATTACAATTTCTGTGTAATTATATATTATGAATTATATATTATGAATTATATATTATAAATTTTAGGCAATTTGTTAAAGATTATCAGGATTATCTTAGGGTTATCTTTTATCGAGGGAGGCAACGAAGAATATATTCGACAGGCATTCATACCATTTGATTGGCGAAGGCATGATATACGAGTTTAGGTTTTAAAGGTGCTAACAAAAGATGCCTGTACGATCCCCAAACTTTTCCGGGGCGTAAAACGTTTATAATAAGATCCATCTGAAGTTGCTCCACGTATAAAGGATCGTGCAGTGAGAATCTCGGTGCGTTTTCGTCCTGAATGAACACTCCTCTAATTAATTCGCCGCCTGGTTCTCTTCTCAAACAATTCACAAGACCCAATAAACCGCACTCGGTATCTCTCTCTCCGACTATAATTATTCTCGTAGTGTGAGTCAATTTGTTCTCTGCGCTGAGAGTTGCTTTAAGTTTCTCCAGCCAAGAGAATTCGTGATTGTTTGCTGATATAACTTCCGTTTTACTCGTCGACTGAACTCTCTTCTTCAAGAGCGTAATATGCTCGTCTCCTGAGTGTTTCTCAAGTACTACCGCTAGATTGTACCTTTCAGCAGTCGCAATGTCCTCCTTCGTAAGTGATTGTCCCCGTGACAATAAAAACCCGCCGGATTTTAATGCCTGCAAGATTTCTGTCAAGGTTTCGTCCTTGCGACTTGTTAATAAATTATAACCTGTGATTAATATCGCATTGTCATCCTTGGATAACTTTTTTGTTTGTGATACTGTAATTTCTGGAGGAAGTGTAACGCGATCGAGACAATTGGTTCTCGTCACCAGACTGATATTAAATTGAATGAGCGGTAAATTGTTCAAGATTTTAACAAAAAGTGGGGACACTAATTGCTTTGTTGTTATATCGTCACCGTGTTCGATTAACTCAATGATGTTCACTTTTGTTATTTGGTAATATTCCAGAACAAGATGTGTTGATAGGATTATACCGTCCTCAAAAGAAACCTCGGCTCCGTCACGATGAGCTACGAATTTGTACTGTTCGAGAACAGGATGTCCGGTTGGTTTCCGACGAGATATAGGAGTGGCCGTGATACCGCTGATCTCCATACCACCAGATGTTATTGTATTGAACTCTTTATATACACGTACAGCTAGCTCTGCGTGTAGATAGCGTGAAGATTTAAAAACATGATACTCAACTCTTATAATTTTAGCATTTCATCCGAACGAAATTTCAATGTACGCAGAGAAAACGATTTGGTTGAATCAAATAAACACTTCTTTGGAATAGTCCAAATAAATTTATTGATTGATCAAACAAAATTTTGCTTGACGCAACAAAAATATTTATTTGCGGCTTAATTCCAAAGAAATATTTTTCTTGTGTTAAATAATTTGTTTGGACTATTTCAAAGGAACGTTTATTTGATTCAACAAATCGTTCTCTCTGTGTAACAGGGGATTCACATATTACAAAGGTATATTAAAAATTAGATATTTAAAGAAGTTCATAGCCGAAGTTACATCTAAAAAAATCTTAATGGATATCTCTTTAAAACTTACGTTTATCTTCAGTCGTTATATTTTGTATGTGCTGTATGTGTAACTTCGGGTCAATTAGCAACTTTTTTATGCCAGTCGGAACGTAAAGACTTCTCGTGTCTGTACCCAGAATATGCATTTGTAACATATTATCCATGAAAGCCACCCAGTTATTCCACCAAGCTATGTGCCCCCGCCTGCCAGTAGTGGATGAGCTTCTTAATCCTCGAAAGAGGCCTGAGTACTGATATCCGCGTAATTTCAATTCTTTATAAATATCTTTTGTTTTCATTACTTCCTCGTCATTATCGTTTTCTTGTAAGTAATCGATTGATACCCTTTCCTTGGCCGGATCTGAAGATACACGCACTCTGCCAGTAACGACAACAGTACTTCCTTCTATTATTTCAAACATTCCGCTCGCTGCAATACGCATATACATGATAAAGATTACAAATTTCCATCGCGTAAAATCCTAATGCAGAAATTATTAAACAAACATAATTTACCTCTCTGCACTATTAACGTTAACTCTACACTGCTTTGGCTCAGAATGTGAGTCGCCCGAAGAAATTTAACATCTTCAAATACTATAGGGATATTATATTGTAATTGTCCCTTTAACATACTAATTGTTTCCCAAATTAAAAAAATATATCCCGTAGCTGGCAACAAATTTCTTCCATCGATTACATGACCGCTCATATATTCATAATCCTCGTCGCTCAATAAAATATTAATTGTTCTCTCTCCGGAAGTGATTCGTTTTTGGATAGAATATAACGCTACGTGCCAGTTTTCAGAATATTTCCACCTGAAATACAGTGATATAAAAAACATATCAACATATTTCGACACGAAATCACGAGTTGTTGTACATTGACTCGCTCTATATTTTATGACCTAGAAGCTTAACAGGTTATATAATCGACTTACTTGATCGATGGAGAAATCATCGGCGTACCACGACTAACTGGAAATTCTACAGTCGGATATAGGTTGGCTAATTGCGGCTGCAAGCCATAATTGTACATTTTACCGAGTCCTTGCAAAAATACTTTGATGTTATCTTCATGATCACGTTGAGCCAATGTAATAACTGTAGTATCGAATATTTCGTTCAAAACACCCTGTAGAATTCCATCCGGCGCAACTTCCACAATCACCACATCTTCTGGAACCATTTTTGCGACATCTTCGAAAAAAGCAGGTCTCATTAAATTATTCGTAAAGTATTCTGCGTAAGATAATTCTGTGTCGTGAAACAATTTGTGCCATATTTGATAATGCATCATCTTTTGCGGTATTGTTTGATATAGGTAAGCCAAAATCTTGGCTGTTGCGATAACAACATAAGAACTATGGAGAGGAATATTGCTGCAGACAACCTCCTTTGTAAAAACCTTGCTGGCCTGTAAAATAAATATACAGTGCTATTTATTTAATATATTATACCTAAGAAACACATTGTGTTCAGACAAAAATAGAGGAACCTGTAATTTTGTAGTAAATGCTTTCACTGATTCCGTTGGCCCGCTGATGGAACAAGCATTCGGATTATAGCTGCAGATTACTTCGATATCTGCTGGACATATGGCCTTTACGCTTTTATAATCAAGATCAATATTCGCCATGGCGCATTCAACTACATTTATTTCACTTAACGCCAGTCCTATATAATAAGTGGATAAAATCACTTGTTCGACCGTGAAGTCACCTGCCACGTATCCACAACAGAGTTCACCGATTGAATAACCGATAACATAATCTGGCGCGATATTTACAGACATTAAGAGATCTATCAATCCAAGCTAGAAAAAAAATATTAAACCATTATTTTTTGTGAACTCATGTAAAACTTGCAGAAAAGTAATCGCCATTTTTTTAATTTATTATGTTATATGTTCAATAAAGAATGAGATGCCACCAAGGTTTTTCTATATCTCATTACATACTTTATTTATTTTGTACTATAAAAACTGACTCAATTTAATAAATGTATCATTCATGAATTCTTTTTAGTTACATTTTGGTTTATGTTTAAATGTGGTTTGAAATTCTTAAAATACATGAGTTTTAAAATGATACGCAAGGTAGTACCTTTTCACGATATTGATCTGTAATATGTGCGGAATAGTTATTGGAGAAAATTATTTGTTACCTGCATCACGGTGATGCCTACGATCGAGTTCAATATATCGTCAAACGTAGTTTTCTGTTTACTCGTTAAAATTTCGATAATATGTATTCCACGTGCTTTTAAAATTTCATCACATTTTTCTACAGTCTTAGAAAATGCAGGAAACCGCAGTAATGCTTCTCCTACCACAAAAATTTTATTTTAATCATGAATAATAAAAACAACTTATCAATAATGTCACTTTGCCAAATATATAAAAGAAAGGAAAAATACCCATGCCCAGCCATTGGGAGCCAATACCGGAAAATACAAAACAAATCGGTTTTTTTGTTCCCGTATAATACTCTATTTCATTTATTATATTGCCGGATGGTTGAGCTTCGACAATCGTATATCCTCTGTATGGATGGTTTAGCATCTCATCAGCATAGATATTGTGCAAAAGCCGAACATACTCAACATCTATCGGTTGATGTTCAATCTAAAATGGAAGTATTTCGCGTGAACACAAGTCACTGTCTTTGTCTGATACAATATTTACCTACCTCGTGTAAAAATGACTCCACTGCTTGTTCAGTACGACCAGACAGAACGATGAGTCTTGGTAGATTGTCCTTTGGTAACCCATTGTTGATCTTTTGTTTTATATTGGGTGCTAACAGAAGATGAGCATTAGCTCCGCCAAAGCCGAAGGAATTTATACCCACAAAAGTAGGCTCCCATAATGTTGGGACAGTAACTACGCGTATAGTCCCTTTCTTGAAAGCTTCAATATCAGTTCGTTCTTTCGTGAAATTTATGTTTGGTGGAATTACGCCGGTTTCCATAGCTATGATCACCTTATCAAATACAATTATTTAGAAAAAAATCTTGCTTCCGTTATTGCTTAACTAAAAAATGCTAACTCAAAGACTTAAAAGCTATTTGAATGATGTAAACAAAATTATTATTATAGTTATGGAGTTTAAATAGAAAAAATATAGTTATAGTTATGTACTTCAAATTGACAAAAAAACAGAATTAACAACGTTTACTGATAACTATTATTATAATACTTAACTATTAGTAACTGTTACTACCTTAGCAATTTGACATAGACCAGCAGAAGGTTCAGAATGACCTAAGTTGGACTTGATAGAACCAATTAATAGAGGATTACGTCTATTTTTGCAGAAAATCTTCTCTATTGCATTAACTTCTTCTGGATCACCAACTTTCGTGCCAGTTCCATGAGCTTCTAAGTAAGTAATGCAAGACGGCGATACGTCGCATTCCTCGTAAAACTCTTGCATCAAACGTCTTTGCATTTCGCTCGACGGGAAGGTAATACCTTGTTCCTTAAATCCGTCGCAATTCGTTTTGGCATGAACTAAAGTCGCATAAATTCTTTTAGCGTTTTTTGCTTTTTGGAGATACACAACCGAAATTGCTTCACTGCGCATGTAACCATTCGCACAGACGTCAAAAGGTTTGCAGAAACCGTCGAGCGATAAAACACCTGAAATCGAAATGTTTAATTCTAAATATAAAAAAGTTACAGAAACTCTAAACATAGATCAATCTTACCTAAGGCATTTTTATTTGTTCATAACATTCAAAAAAGTGACCTAAATTCAACCTCTCTTTCCTTAATTAGTATAGGAAACATCGAGAAATATAAATCTGTTAATGTTTTTACGATTCATTGAAGTTAAAAAAAGTTATAATCCAAAAACAAAATACACGTTTATAAGAACGGTAGCGTTTGAAAAGTTGATCTGAATAAATTTTATCTATATTTAGTGTTCTAGAGTTAAGTGTTTTATGTTTTATGTTTTATGTCTTAAAATCGAATTAAAGTGCTAAAATGTAAAATACCAAGTCGCGAAAACTGCAAAGATATGAAAGGATTCAAACAAATATTTGAGCCAGCAACAATCATAGCATCACACTCTCCTGATCGGATACTTCTGTAAGCAATCTCTATATCGTAGAGAGTTGAACTGCAGGCGGTGTCTATCACGCAGGATGGTCCTGTTATACCTAACCAGTGAGAAATCCGATTTGCTAGCATGAATTTGCTACATCCCAATACTCCGAGACCAGCGAACTATGATAATAAATACGAGAAAGAAATTATATGATCTATATTCATAAGTATATGATATTATATATATATATATATATATATATATATATATATATATATATATATA